AATGGTAAAATATTTTTCTCCTTACACTGTTGTGTTTTAGAACCAGACATGCCAGAAGGGAGCTGGAAGTGTGAGGAATGTGGCAATATAAACTACCCTTTCAGAACTAAGTGTAACAGACAGAACTGTGGTGCTGAAAAACCTTCTGAGATAAATAATGCATCTCCAGAAGCAGCTGATGCAAATGATCAGGTCAGTTGTGAGATATGTGAACTCGGTATGAACCTCTGTTATTTGAAATTGTACATGTCCTTTTGTCTTCTGTATAGGTGCAATAAATTCATTAAGTGTTCGACTCGGCATTTTGTATGTAAGGAGTTACTCTTAATGGAAACCGTTACTGTTGATATTTTCGTTTTCCTTTCTCCTTTGTTAATAGAACTTGCAGTGTTTACATGTTCACTTTCTAGTTTTTACTTTTATTTTTAGCATTGTGCATTTATTAATCACAATTGTCTAATGTTCCAGTGAGTACTAGGCATGTCTGAGAAGGTCCAGAGTTGTCGTCCAGCATTGCTCAGTCGGGTGTCTGAAAGTCTTTTGTGTCATCTTCCTGTCGCAGCAATTGTCGAGTTACTCTGCCTTCTGAGTTCTAACAATTCCTGTCCAGTTGTTGTATTAACTCTAATATTATCTTGTCATCTTTATAATTATAAAGTAGCACCTTTGTGTCGGCCAGCTTGTTCTGGCCAGATTTTTAGATTGATTATGGTTTCTGTTATCTAGGATTCTATACTTGGGTATCTCGTCAATTTTAGACATGTTAACATGCACATGCATTTCGAGCTATATTCTTTTGGTCATCGTTTTGTTTTGTTTTCTGTGCTCTACTGGAGAGCCTCTGTTCTAGAATAGTCGAACAGATCTTTGAAGTCAGATCTAAAGCAGGCTTGTCAGTCAAGGTGAAATGGTTGGTCAGTCGGTTGGTTTATAAAATGATAGCCCGTAGAAGAAGGTTGGCCAACTCCTAAAATTAGGATATTTGGCAGCCTGTTGAGTTGTCTCACGTGGCTCAAGTCTTTGATACATGGTGAGATGACTTCAATGTTATTTGAAATCATCTTTGAAATTATTCGGCTTGGGCCATTCTGGCCTTGGTGCTCCTGGGCTGTTATTAATATTGGGGAGCGGAGATCTGGTTCCGACTGGACAAATATTGTAGCTGTGCCTGTATCCCGAAGTGAAATTGCAGCCCTGCTGAAGTAGTGTTTGTTCATTTGGACTCGGTGAAGCAGTCGTCTTGTCCCCTTGAAACCTGGGAAGGTAATCAGAATTGCACATCACTTCGGACGATGTTGGACGTGAGAATCCAGCATGGTAGAGGCTTATCAATTAATATAGAAATACCAATTACCAAATTATTACCCTAGACTTGTACGATTTTGTACTTGCCTAATTAACAATCCCAGTTATGGCTTTCCTATTTATAACTTTTTATGTACTGGATAACTTAAACTTGGTCCAAATTTACACTATTGACGAGAACTTCTCCGAGATAGAACGCAATAAAGCCAATTCCAATTCCAATTCTTCTGAAAGAGGAATAATTTATCTTTTTATAATTAGCGTTTTCTTTCAAGAGCGCTTTTTCATTCGGAAATTGATTTGTCATGTGAAATTCAAGTCCAAAACAAAAGCACGACTAGAGCATAGTCCCAACAAAGTTATTGCCCTTGAGTAAATGTTATTGTCAATGTTTTAAAAATCAACCGTGCCACTTGGCCAGGGCACGTGTAACTTTATCCTTTAAAAATTGATCTTGACTTCCATCCAAAAAAGAGAAAAAGGTTGAACAGTAGATAAGTGGAGTGGTTTATGAGATGTTATATCAAAGAGCTCGACACATCAAATAAGTTGTCACATCTCGATCAATTTGTATCGAATTATATAGACCCGTTGATGTCTCGATCAATTTGTGTCGAAGTACGTGGACCCATGCACGAAATCGGAGGATGTTAAAGTAAACTTGTTTATGTTAAGATTTTTGCTTTAATTTCACTTTCTTGTGTGCAAATGATTTTTTGAAAATCACTTTTCTCCACTCATTTTTAACTATATCTTTTTTAATAAAATATTTTATTTTTTACGTTTCTCCATAATTCTTCTATTTTCCAATTAAATATTTTTGAAATAGAAAAACTCTCTCGTACTAAATAAAAATCATAAGCTAGAAATAAATCAAATGATACAATTTTCCTTTTAAACCCGTGCTAAAGAGTCCGTTAGTTTTGTAACAAGTTCTAAAGTCGTTCCAACTTATTATTGTCGGAGTAAATATATTTTTAGTACATTCAACATTATATTTTGGTTAGATGGTAGATATTTACTTTTGAAAAAATAAAAACATAAAATTAACATTTTAATAAATTAATTAGTATTAGATTGAGCAAGACTGCATTGGGATGTCCGATGATGGTGGAAAGAATTACTTTCTACTGACCCCCTTCGGGGGTGGTTGAGTTGTTAGAATAGGTGAACGCGGAAACCAAAAGTCACGAGTTCGAATCTCCTGTCAACGTTTTATCGGTTGAGCTGTCGCATCGGGCTTGCCTAGTGATGTTTACCTGTATCGTGTGGTTTGCGAGCTACTGCACATGAAACGAGTTTATCTAGTGCGCACTCATAGTGGTCGGGGCTTCGCTAACGGGTAGCGGCAACATGTTCATACGACAAAAAAAAAAGAATTACTTTCTGCTGTTTCTACCTAAACCTCAGCACCACTAGTTCCAAGTCTATGGCTTATCTCTTATTATTATTTTTTTTTACTCTTCATTTTTGGTTACACTTTATGAATGTGCAGGTCTCTGGCTTATATCTTGTTTTTCCATTTTTCTTCAATTTTTTGTTCCGCTTTATGAATGTACAAAATAATTTTTTTTTTTTTTTTAAAGTAGCTGTTTCGGTAATTGGATAGAGATAGCAAGTATGAACGATAAGCATTTAAGGATTGCCAAATTAGAGAGTAGATATAAATCTAAAGATCGTTTTTCTTAAAATTCCCCATTTGTGTTATTATACCTTCCGTCTATAATTAGCTGATTTTGTATATGTTAGCGAATCTTCATATTCAAACAATTTTTCCGCCATTGAGAAACATTTCGTTCTCTGTTGAATTTCATTCGCGAAAAAGGGTGGTGAAGTGTGATTCGGATCCGGTTCAGTGTGCGGTTTGATGCTTCAGGTAATGTTATCCCAAAATTAAATTAAATAAGCAATTATTGTCTCCTGGATTTATGAGTTGTGCATATTTGCATTTTATGGATTTATTATTTCTTTTTAGTGCTTGTTTTGGCATATTTGATTAGTGCCCAAATAATGGAAAACACTATGCAAGCATATTGTGAATTTTGGTTTTTCAGATTATGGACTTGTGAGCATGTGTGATTTTGCACTTGGTAGATTGTTGAACTTTCCAAATTACAATTGTTAGTGGGATGTTCCGAACATAATAATTAGACCCGACCCAAGTATTGAGCGAAAAAAGGACATGTCAGTGAAGACATCTGATCCAATCGTTAGATGATTTGGATCAATGGTTCTTCTCTGTCTGACCCCAATTGACCCGGTTTTCTTCCTCGAAGTGTTGGAGATTTAGTGAATGTCGATTTGAAGGTGTATAGAAACTCTAACAAGAATTGAACAGAGCAGGAACCATGTTAAACAAAGAAGAGAATGGTAGAAACAAAGATGAAAAACCAAAGAAAAGAAATGGGAAAGAAACTCCAAGGCAAGTATTTAACATTTTTTCTTTAAGACAAATTTGTCCCGCAATGGTGTTACCATAAGTTTGGTAATCGTCTCCCAAGATACAACGAAATTAGTTTTGAAATTCCAAATATACTATAATCATCTATTCGACGAGTAAAACGAGTTAGTCTATTCACTTTCATGATTTGACTATCGAAACTCATCCGAATACTTGGTTGAAGTTGACACAAAGTCACTTTTCTTAGGTTTTACTTGACCAATTTTAACCTAGTTCCAACAGAAAGTGCGTAAGGAATAAGAGTTGACAATTCTAGCGACTTATACCATTTTGCTCTCAACTTAAAAAAAATGTTTGCTGCCAATCGTGAAGAGGGATGAACTCTGCTAATTAACGGAAGGTTGATCACATGTTTAAAACGAAGAATTGGATGGGTGCAAGATTGCTACCTTGCTCGGATGTTGGGGACCAATGGTGCAATTTATCCAAATAATAATAACAATTTCCCCAATTTTCACAATCACAATATGACTTTTCCATGTTTAATAAAAGTCACAAAGAACAATTATAACTATGATTTGCTAATAAAGTAACAAGATAACTTTTCTATTGTATCATTTTATTTCAATTATAATGCATATTCTTTCTCAAAAAATGCATTACTCTAAGCCATATTTATGAAGAAACTTCTTTGGAGCGGCGTAATGTTAGGTTACTCTAATTGTTAATTGCATTACCGCTAAATGCATACGCAAGTCAGGACGCGTGTCTCATAGTTAGATAGCACGCCGTACCCGTGTCCAAGTAGCTTACCTTTAGTTCTTCAATCACGTCATTGAATTTTGCCAAGTTTTTAAAGTATCACACCAGATCCGATGATAGATTGTGTGAAGCAAGAAATGGAAATAGATGAATTTATCTACTCTGTGTGAGTTAATGCATGTTTGAGCTATCAAAAGACATGTTTGTAGAGTAATTATATGTAATAAATCTAGAGTTTCAGTTGCCAATTCTCTCCTCTTTATCTTTTAAATGAGTTTTATGTAATTAATCGGTTACATGAACGCAAATATGCATCTCATCCTGGATATCATGTCTCCCTGCTGAACTGTTCACTGCTTTCCTTTGATATATTGAGTTTTACATTTAATGAACTTGCTGCCGATGTTTTGTAATTGTACAGTTTATAATATTTCCTCCAGTTCTGCTTTTTGAATAATTCCATCCTATTAAACTGAATTACTTGTGAAAATTGCTCCACAGGATGACTGTTGGTAGATCTGAAAATCTCAAAATGATGGGCAATGATGAATCTCCACTTGCAAAGAAAGCTCGAAAGGAGAAGGCTCGAGGAAAAGTGACCGCAACAACAAGCTCGACTGAAATTATGGAACCCTGTGTATGGAGAGAATTTCCGGGAGACCTTTACGAAACTGTGATAGCAAGACTTCCCATAACCACATTTTTTCGTTTTCGTTCAGTTTGCCAGGATTGGAATTCATTGCTGACTTCACGGAGTTTCTCCCTACAGTGTGCTCAAGTTAAGCAAACCCAACCTTGGATTTATGTCACAATCCATGGAAACACTAATGATGGAGCCATATATGATCCACCGTCGAAGAAATGGTACCGCCCACCAATACCTGCCCTTCCAACAGAGTTGCTCGTGGAGCCAGTGGCATCAGCAGGGGGTCTCATCTGTTTTCTCGACAGTGAATTTATAACTGCCTATGTCTGCAACCTTGTTACTGCCTCCTTCAAAGAGTTGCCACCTAGGTCGGTTGATTTTGGGGGCATTGGGATGACTATAAATGAGAGCTCTCCAAATGCTGGATATAAGATCCTTTGCTTTAGTTGTGATGGTGAGTATGAAATTTACGACTCAACAAAGAACTCTTGGGGTCGTTCAGGGAGATTGCCCTCGAATATCAAGTGCCCACTTGACCTGAATTTCAAGTCTCAGGCCGTGTCTATTGATGGAACGCTTTACTTCATGCATTCAAACCCTGATGGCATCGTGTACTATAATATGACCACCGGGGTTTGGAAGCAAATCTTAATCCCAGCTCATCCACGTCTGAGTGATCATACACTAGCTGAATGTGGAGGGAAACTCATGCTTGTGGGGCTTGTGAACAACAGTGCTTCGACGTGCATCTGCATATGGGAGCTGCAGCAGATGACTTTCTTGTGGAAGCTGGTTGACAGAATGCCAACCCTATGGTGCTTGGAGTTTTACGGGAAGCCAGTCGAATTGGATTTCCTGGCTAACAAAGGTTGGGTTATGATATCGCTTAGATCAAGACATAAGTATAGTCTGATAACATATGATTTATCGAGCAAGGAATGGTTTAAGCCACCTCGAAGAATCCCATCATATGGGAGAAAGAGGCCTTGGCTTGTAAATGGCACTGCATTTCATCCTTGTTTGACAGCTTTGGTTTAGTTTGCATATTTAGGATGACCATTTGGAAATCATATTATCAACCCTCCCCTTTTATGTTGTATACATAGTTACTAAATTAATATATCTAGACAAATTTTTAATGCTTATTAACTTTTTAATTAACCATTTTCTGGTGTATATCATTTAGGGTCCATTTGATTGCAAATGTGGAATTTTGGTGGAAAAAAAATGATTTACAGGGAATTGAATTGCCTAAAATTTGTTTTATTGAGAATTGTAATTAATTGTATTTGATAGGTATAATTTTTCACCTAAAAAATGTTGAAAGTTCGGTGTTCGTTTGACTTTGTTTTTATAGAAATTGTCCATTAAAGTGATAATTTTTTTTACCATTGGGTCTAGAATTTGTTCCAATTGCCAAAAAAAAAATTTAAAAAAAAAATTATCATACCAACTACCATTCGTTTTGTTTTGTTTTGCATGTAAATTGTCAATAAAAGTAATTTTTTTTAACCAAGAAAAACAATTCTAGAGAAACCTTTGCAATCAAACAAGCCAAAACTTGGAAAATGAAAAACAAGTTCTTACTTCCATAGAAAATTTTCCATATCAAACAGGGCATTAGTGTTTTTAACCAAGAATTATGCTATTTGTACATTCCTTGATGACATCTTTGTTGACATTGTGTGGGTTATCAAAATCTTTATAGAGAGCAAAAATATTAGCCACCTCACACAGTGTCAACCAGAGTACCTGTGGCAAAACTGTTTTAACCAATTCATAATTGCGGTTCATTCAGGGCGATGGCCATTTTGAGATTGAATGCAACCTTTGAATCAAATTTTAAGATGAGCAGTTTAATCAAGCTTTTGAAACTCAACGTGTCTACGAAAATTCTTAATTAGTACCCAAGCATGATTACCAAGTGTGTGGGAACAAAAGACACACTTCTCATCCAGATTAATGGCATTGAAGTTTATCTAATCGATAAAGGGGGCACATCAAATGAAAACCACAGTTTTAATCCAGATTAGAACTATCCAACAGACGTTCTAATGAACTCAATTCAATCATATAACTTCATCTAATCAATGAAAACAGGCATATTGGATTGAAACAATTCTTGTGACATGCAGTAAAGCCATTCAAGATACACGGCAAGTCATCCGATAACATAATAAAGATAAGGAAAACTGGAATAGAATGGGATATTCTTATTAATATTTAAGGAGTTTTCACAGATTAAACTCTGAACTAATAAAGGTTCTCTAGCATTTCAATATTTGGGCTAATAACCCGAAAAACACGTTAAAAATCCAGTATCGTCTGTATCAAAGATGATGATTATTGGTTAAGCCATGCCTCCACTTGTTGCAGTCCTGATTATTTGGAATAAGGCTGGAAGAAGAGACAGACAAAGGGGGAGAAGGGAGCATTAGTCAACTCAAAATTTGGAGAACAATGGAAACAACGCAAGAAAGTACCAAAGCAGAAATAAGCCGTTCAACAGCACATCACTCATTTATTTCAAGTACTGAACAGTAGTACAACACACCAAATATAAGTATGACCTACAACCAAAAAGAAGAGCACACATATACAGCACAACTAGTATGTTGCATGCTTCAGTCAGACAGCTAGGTAGTTTGTCCTCCTTTATCAAAAAGCTAAAATGGACAGCTACAAACACACAGGATAAATTAGATGATCTGCAACTTATTTTAAGTTTCCAAATCGCTGGATCAGTGACCAGGTAGTCTTTCCAATTTTCATAATACTATTTAGACCAAAAGGCAGTTTGTAATTAAGCAAGAACATAAAATGTTATAATAATTAACATTTATTTAGTTATTGGTACAGACAACACTCATGGAAATCTACCAAAGAGACTTTAATTCCCATCAATAACTACAAAGAGTTATTAGATACAATTTTATAAAAGACAGTGTAATCTGAAGTGTAGTTTAGTTCGGGAACTTTATTTTTTCTCTTAGGGTCTTCTCTTCGGTACACATTAACAGAAATATATCATAGTTACTAATATCTAGTTCCCAAGAATGGTCAGTATTAGGAAATATGAGATAAGCAGAAGCAAAAAGGACCAATAAAATCGAAACAAGGAAATGATATGAATATGAATAATCAAGAGAGCTATAATGAAGAAGATAAGAAAATCTTACATGATCCAATGACGACAAAAATGAAGAACCCAATCAAGATAGGACCAACAGGATATTTGTTTCCCTTCTTGGTGCCAGTTTCGGTGATAGCTCCACGCTTGGTAATGTTTTTCTGAAACCTCTCCACCTTCCTATCGGCAAGCCTCCGAGAAGTTGTCTAAGTACCAGAAAATTATTAACGATCATATGTGAGTTAACCAAAATGTTACATGGTGTGCTAAAGAATATCAATAAATAAATAAGTGCCACACAAGCTCTGAACTCAAGTAAATAAAGTCTTTATAGCAAAAGCATTTTCCAGTTTGACTTGCAGAAATTACATTTCTTAATCTTTAGAAGCTCACTATGGCCTGTGGGAGCTGCGAAGAATCTAGGTGTGATAAACCAAATAGAATGGCAAAAAATTCATTTAGCCCATCCTAAATTTTATTGGGAATAAGGCTTAGCTTATTGTTATCTTCAGAAGCACTTGATGTGCTTTACATTGATAATTTCAGGTTCCCTAAAAATAAAGTTGGTGATCGTGCGTGCTCCGAAGCAAGTAGATAGAAGTAGCAATTAGCATAGTTTTTACAATTAAAAAGATTTGAATCTTTGTTCTTTAACCTTACAGATGGCTTTGATAGGTTGAGTGAAAGAGGAGGATCCTGATAGACCCCCAAGTTATTCATTCAAGTTGTTATGCCATATCCTAGAGTGTTCCAATTAGGGGTGGGCGCGGGTCGGTTCGGTTCGGTTTTTTTCGGTTCCAGAAATTTTCGGGTATTTAGTAAATGGAACCGTCGGTTCCAAATATAATTTTGGAACCGTTCGGGTTCGGTTCGGTTCGGTCGGTTCTGTTCGGTTCCGTACTATAATTAAAATTTTTAACATTTAAAATAATATTACATAAATACACCTGAAAGTAGATACTAATATTAATAACAAAAATTAGATATAAATACCAAGTTCAATCTTAACTTTTATAAATTAACGTAATCTAATTTAATAACGTATAAATAATAAGTTGTCAAATACAAATACGAAAAAGTAAATATTACTAATAAAATTTCGATATTCATATCAATAATTCATTTGCTTCAAACCTTCAAATCTACATAAAAGTGAAATATAAATTAGAAGTCACAAATATAAAATATTTTAAAGTATTGATAATACTTACCAACTATTTAATGTAATTATTAGTTGGTTGACTTTCCATACTAACTATTAAGAAA